AAAAAAAAAAAAAAAAAAAAACCGCTTCCAGATCTTACTCGAGGTAGCAAATGAACGGTCAACTCTATGAACAGCCACACCAGGACAAAAGAGGTGTGTGTGGCTGGACCCATACAGAGCCTGAAACAGCACACTCGCAGGGCAAGAAGAGAATAGCTGGACAGGAATATAGAATGCAGAAACCAACGAAAAAAATAAATAAAGGTAATGAAAAAGGGAAGACTGCTAAGTCCAAGCTGACCTAGGCCGAAAATCACGCCCCCTCAACCAAGGCGTGGTCTTGGGCACCCAAAAGAATTGTTTGGGGCCGCGGCCTGGTGTGGAGGAGGATCCGACACCACGCCCCGCAAAATCATAAAGGCCATGATTTTGCTCGACGGGCATGATTTTTTTTTGCGTGACCCGATATGCCACACCATAAAGGGTCACGCAAAAAAAATCATGTTTTTGCTCGACGGGCATGATTTTTTTTGCATGACCCGATTTTGCTAATTATAGATATTGCATGCTACATGTTTTTGAACTTTTTCGGATCCAACAAATGTTTCTCCAGAGACCTTGACTTGGTCCCGCCGAGCTCGACTCTTAGTTGCCGTCAGCATTTTTCCTGCGTTCTTCTCTGTAGACCTCTCACCTGTGCCATTGTGGTGGACACTGCCCAATTCTCTTTGTGTGTGCCAGTTGCTGCGACTATCGCTCTGGAAGTAGATACACGGGCGATCAACGCATTTTGTTGATGTCGCTCGATCTCTATTTTTTTGCTCGTCTGCTTGTCTGATGCACAGGGAGTGGGAAGAGAGATGGGCTCTGATCACAACCCAGAGGGTTCAATTGGTTTGGATGAAAGATGGATGGGAAGATCAGTCACCACGTAATTCGTAGAGTCCTGACAAGGAGAGAGGGAAACGATGGTCTCAGAATATTGTGGGTGAAACATGGAGACCACTCCGGGCGACTCTGATAAGCATACAGATGAAATGACAAGGAGGGGTAGCAAACAGAGCACGGCAGGTTATCAGGACTGAGAAACATATGGAAGAAAGGAAGAGGAGTGGTGGTAAAGAGCGGACGAGTGCTTGCCAGCTTGCGCGCATCAAATTTGGCATCTGGTGAAGCGACATTGACTTCAAAATTTTCATTGACTGAAAACTTGGCATTGTTGAGCGCACATTGATTTTAAATTTTATATGATTGACTGGCTGATTGAGTGATGGGCCAATTGATTGATTACTCGATTGATTTATTGATAGAATTTATTGATAGATTGATTGATTGATTGATCGATCGATTGATTTGATAATTGATTGATTGATCGATCGATTGATTTGATGATTGATTGATGTATCGATGGATTGATCAACTGATTGATCAATTGATTGGTGGCATGCGGTGCTGCCACGTAGTGGCCTCAATATGGTACTGATATTTCCCACGTCGGTGCTCTTGTGAGCGCTGGCGATAGATCAGACGCAAAACGTCTGCCACTTTGTGCTTGTTGTATTGCTCCTTAGGATCAAAGAGATGTATTTGTCCAACTGATGTAATGTAATGTTTTGTAGTAGAGGCGCTTGCAAGAATGCAAGAGCTTGAGGATTACCGATGTTTGGGTGATGACGTTTTCCTTTTTCATCCACATATTGGGTGTGAGAGTTTCACTCTGTTCTTTATTGTTGTTCAATCGATCGATCAATTGGACGGTGGATGGATTGATTGATTGATTGACTGACTGGATTTTCGTAATGGAGGAGATGAGTGGTTGGCAGTTCGTTCAGTGCATGGATTGATTGAGTAGGTGATTGAGTGCTTGGTTGACTGATCGACGGATGTAACTTATTGATTGATTGATTTGATAGATGGGATGGGCTTTATTTTTGCAAAGGACGAGTGGATTGCCAGCTTGCTGACATCCAACAAGTGGGCTGTCAGTTCGCTCACATCGAACTTTGGGATTTGGTGAATCGACAAATTTGTTTTTATTTGTTTGATTGGTTGATTGTTTGGGTGATGCGCTGATTAATCGACCCATTTAATTGATCGATTGGCTGAGTTGGACAGATTGACTAAGTGACTGAGTGAGGGAGTGGGTGAGTCAGGTCAGTAGGGAAGTGGGTGATTGAGCTGAGTGAGGTGAGTGAGTGAGTGAGTTTTTCTCATGACTTTGTGTGTTTGATTATGTGATTGGGTCGATTCAGAAGATCAGCCTTCACAATGCCCTGTTCGTCTCCCTTTGTCTGTGGCCCCTTCTCTGTTCATGTGTATGTTGTGTAGATCATAGTCTCTCGTTCTTGCTTTCTTTTTCTCCCTTCGCCCGTCTTTATTTCCCCCGATGTCTGTTTTATTGTGCTCTTCTTGTTTTATGCAGCTGCTCATCGACCAGGTTATGCAACATCTTTTTTGATAACTCGATATATCCATGCCGCCACTACAACTGTTGGTCGACTCACCAGTCAAACATTCAATCATTATCCACAGCCACTCCTCTTTGGCTGTGTCTTTTGCTCACTCGTTATACTGTCGGCTTTCTTCGGCTTTCTTGCCTTGCCTCCCGTTGCAGTGACGCTGTTGCTGCATCATTTCTTGCTTCTCTTGTCGTTGGACACCCTTTTTTTTGTCCTGGTTGCTGTTTTCACCCTTCTCTTTACTTCTTTTGTGCTGTTTTCACCCTTCTCTTTACTTCTTTTGTTCTCTTTCTTGATATATTTGGGTGATTTGCCAAGTTACGCAAGCATGCTTTCCCTCCAACAAGTGGGGTGTGCTTCGAAACAGCGCCACTACTTTCTTAGGTATTGTATGTTGCTGTGCGTCCTGTCTTCATTTTATTGCAATCGTGCTCTTGCTAGCCACGCCTTCAAGTGGATGGCAAGAGGGAAGGGGAGCATTTGTATGTCTCTGTCTTCCTAGGTGTGCCTATTTCGCCCCGCGTTCTGTTTGTTTGGTGAAATCCCATTCCATGTGCTTACAGTCCGTTCGGCTCCTGTCTCAGTTAACCAGACAATCAGACCGGATCAGATCGAATTTGGCCTAATTTGCTTTGATTTGGTCCAATGGCGCTGAGGCCATCATCGTCTACAAGTTCACTCCGCCGCTCCCGCGGCGGGGTTGTCTCTGATGCTGAGACTGGCACTCCTCCTGTGAGGCATTGGTGGAAGACCACTGAACAGTTCCTCGTGAACTTGCCAACCCGTCCTTTTCCAGTAGCCATAATGTGTCTTTTCCTTTTCAGTGTTGTAAGCTGGTTGACGTCTTCAGCCCTTATTTCAAACCTAGGTCCTCAGGGAACAGGGGCTCCAGCTCTAGGAGGAATGGGAGAACAAACATTTGTTGGTTTGGCAGGTGTACAGCCTGAGGCTGAGCCAGTGTTCTTGCATACTTCAGATTGGAATGAAAGTAATGGGGTTTTGGCACTCGAAAAGAGGAGGAAGTCGGTAGTTCAGCAACAGTTGGGTTCAAGTGGGGTATCTAGAGCGTCTGACCGTGGTGCGGCAGCTTCGCGAGTGTTCCAGCCCGCTGCTATGCCTGAAGGCCACATTGTCTCGAAGGTTGCGTTTGGGTCCTGTACAGCTCGTGTCGTCGTTCCTCAGCCTATATGGGCGTGGGGAGTGATTCCTAGCGAGCCGCATGCGTGGATTTGGAATGGGGATTTTTCGTACACGGACGCACCAGGAGTTGATTGCAGGGTTGAGGTGTCTCACAAGAACTGCAATTGTACGAAGAACTGGCTGCGCAAAAGTAAGGCTTCTTGTCTGGCTGGGGACATACCGCACGCCAAGTGGAAGCTGGGGAAACAGGTAAACCATCCAGATTACAAGGAGTTCCTTAAGTTCATGTGTTCCCAGCCTGGAACCGAGGTGGGTCCGCCGCCACCCATGTATGACCTAAGCTCGTGTGCGCGACCAATCCTTGGCACATGGGATGACCATGATTACAATTGGCAGGATGGAGATCGACGACTTCCGACCAAAGAGCAGCAGAAAGAACTGTTTTTGGATGCGTTTGGTGTTCCTCCGTACGATGAGAGGCGCGAGCGAGGGAGAGGCCTTTACACAAAACATGTGCTCAATGCTGGTGTTCGTGGGAAGGAGATCGACGTGTTGCTGCTCGATGAGAGGTTTCACAAGGACCCAAAGCCATGCCACAACAGGAGAGAATTCTGCGAGAAGGTGGCGCTATCATCACCAACTAAGGAGAAATACACCTGGTGCATGGATTTTCTGCTCGGAGAGGCTGGTTCCAAGCCCAGCTGCTGTTCCAAGGATGAGCGGATGTACCAAGGCTGGTGCAAGAACCCAAAGTCTGTTCAAGATCCACTTTGGCGCCATGCCTGTGATCCGACATACAGGCACTATGGTGCTGACCGACTGATCCTGGACCAGGTGACGGGGCGCCTGAGATTGCGTGCGAAAAATGAGAGTTGCAAAGGAGCAGGGGTAACTATAGCGGAAGTAACAGAAGGGAAAGAAAAGGAAGAGGAAATAGGAAGAGGAGGTGGCGGTGGTGGCGGCGGCGGAGGAGGAGATGGATGTAGAGAGGAGGAGGAGGAGGAGGATAAAGATGGTGTTCTCTGTGATATTCTGGGTTTCAGACAGAGAAAGTGGTTGAGGAACGTTCTCTACGAGTCCGACGCGCCGCTCAAGCTTCTTGTGTCAGGATCCCCAGTGATCAACAACCCCAAGCCTTTTATATGTGGCAAAGCTCTTAAGAAGAGACCTGCTGTCCAGTGTGTCTGCTTGGATGATTTTGACTGCTTCAGACCTGCCCAAATCAACCTTATCCATACCATGGTGGGTGCTCCAGGCTGTGTTGTTGTCCTCACCGGAGACCTTCATTTCTCTGACATTAAGGTCATCCGATCAGGGCAGAACCTTTATTCAGCAGACTACATGACTGCCAATCTCCCCCATCCAGTTTATCAAGTTATGGCCAGCGGTTTGACCACAGACACTGCACGCAATTTCTCATGCGATGGAATTCGACTCGATCATGCTGGCCTTCGGGAACATGGCGACTGCGCCATCGTCACCGGACCGGCGTTTGGGATGCTGGAAGTGGACTGGGACTCTCCCGAGCGACTGGTCCATCTGGAGATACGAGATGGCCATACAGGTGCTGTACGGCTGAGATCCAGGTTCTCTCTCAATGGATGCCAATCTGTGTTCTGAAGAGGGGGGGGAAAGGTACTGCTTCTGTATTGCATGCTGTGCCTTTACAGTGCCATGTTGTGATGGCACGCTGTACAGAAAGGATTTAAGGGGGGACAGGAGGGCCCACAGGAGGAGGTGGCTCTTAAACCGCAAGTGCACCTGGGCCTCTGGCCGTGCGGCACTGTGCTCCAAGCTTTTGTCTAATCGCCAGCGATGCTTTTTTTTTTTCTGTTTTTTGGCAGGTGCCGCCAGCCATTGTGGTCCGGTAGCCCCGGGCCTCCAAAATTTTAGGAGTAGGCGATGAAGAAATCTGGCAAGGCAACCAGCTGGCTTAGCTCAGTTGATGAATAAAATATCACAGTTCTGAATTATCCAGGCACGGTCAGTTCGAGGATGGTATCTCAAGGCCGTCGCCCTTTTTAGAAAGGGAAGAAAAGAGAGGTGAAAGGGATTTAAGGAAGGGAAAAAAGTGGAAGGAGTTTTTTCATTGTTGAAAAAATAAATTTTGCAAGGCTGGGGCCGTGTACTGGCGGTTTAAGGGGTATGTCTGCAACAGGAATGCTTTTGTGCGTTGTTGGGCTGATGAATCAAGGGAGTCGGGTAAAAAGACTATGCCTTTTGAATGGGTAGTGCTGACCCTCTAGATTCCCAGAGACTTTGCAAACTGTTCTGATAGCAGGCCTGGCTGCACTTTTTTTTTTGAATGTGATTGCACTGGCCCCTGGTGGTAAGTAAGGACCACCGTGGAAGAAATGGCATATGCCAAGGAGAGTGACCATCCTAGTTTATGAGGTATAGCTTAGTCTCAGAGAGCACTGCTATTGAGGGGAATAGTACTCCATTGACTCAGGCTCAAGTCATAGTTGTACTGGTATTGTGGTGCCAGTGGTATTCAGCCAGCAGAATGACTGGCTGATTGCCGTGTCACAGGGGCTCTGACTACGTTGGAAGGATTGACTGTCAGTTAAGCCCATACTTTGGTAGCAATACTGCTCTCCTATTCTTACTGTGAGGGACTAGGGCCCTTGGCAGTGCAGCGCCCGCTCGAAGCGAAGGCGGGCCCCTGTTCTTGGTCTGGGCCCCATTTTTGCACCTGATCCCCTTGGGGTGGCTGTGTGACCAAGACGTGCGACGTGTCTGGAGGCCGCAATGTCACACATTGCCAACCAGCCAGTGAGGAAGCAGCGAACAGTGTCCACCACGTCGCACAGCCTGGGGAGCTCTTAACCAATTCGGGCCCAGGGAAGTATCTCCATAGGCCCTGCGCACAGACACTGAGCAGGAGCGCGAAGCTACTGGGTACCGGCCGCGGACTCGTAGGTAGAGTGAGGAAGCAGTGCACTTCCATATAGGGAAGTGCGGTCAGCCAGTCCAGCATTCTGGCTGGACGTCATTGCCCGACAGCGCTGCTGCACTGTGCGGTGAGGCTGGGCGCTGGCCGGACACACGTGCGCACGGGCGGTGGAAGAGAGCGCTGTGGTGGACAGCGCTGCACAGCAGCCATAGCCGGGCTGCTTGTGCTGGATGCCGGTGGACTGGCATGGGGTCCTTGGGCGAAGTGGTTAGCCTGTGAGGGGAACATATCAGGCGATGAGCCAAGGGAGGAAGGAGGACGTACCTGGTGTGTCGTGGAGATCTGCATGGACGATGTCTTCACTTGCATCAGTCCGCTGCTGAAGAGCTTCTGGTTGCATCATTGTAGTGTAGGCTAGTATAGGTGTTGTGAGTCTGTGGTTGGGTGCTAGGCACATGTGGGAGAGTGACATCGGAGACATACTTGATGGTGGCGAGTCAAGGGCTGACATTGACAATTGAGTTCATTGCTTCGCTCTTATTTGGTGTGTACTTGGTGCATTTCACTTGCTGTGCGACACACGACTACCTGGTTTACAATGTGATGATGCAATTTGGATTTCTGTCATTCGCTCTCTCATTTTCCTTGTATTACGGCTTCCCTGAGAGAAACATGCTTGAAAACATGTCCAAAGTACAAAGCTCTCTGTCCACATTGTGGATTGCCTAAAAATCATGTGGTACCTAGGATTACTTTGACATTTTCGAAGTCGCAATGGGCTTTGCTTGAGGAGTGGTCCTTTGTGGAGTGTTGTGCCTTTTGATGGGGCTTTCTTTGTTCTCAGTTACCCTCAACTGCTTGTGGGTGTGATCTTCCCATACATCACCTACAAACATAAAAAACAGACAGCCACGGGGTCCATTTCCTTCCAATGCTGTGCGTTGAGCGTTTGGTGTTTTTGCAGATGCGTGCCAATCTGCACACGTCTGCAGTGTCGCCGTTTCGGGTTTTGTCGATCTGAAGTCCCGGGCTCTCCGTGGGCTGTTGGATATTGATGCGCCGTTGTTTTGCTTCTTGCTGCCTCTTTTCTTTCATCGCCTGTCACATTTCATTTATTGTCATTTTCTTGTTTTTTCCGATGCCTTTTTGTTTTCCTTTAACACCGCCGCTACCTCTTCCAGGCAAAGTCGAGAATCGATAATGCGACAATATTAAAAAATTGGGGGTTCGAGGCAGGATCGGTCTGGTTGGGGGCACATAAGTTTTTTGTCCTGTGTGATACACGTGGCCCACACAGCGGACATTTTCTCATCCTCAACGTCGAGGTTGCCACCCACCGAGTTTGCGGACAGCAGATAATGCCCATTTCCGGTTGTACTGGCTGGGCGGTACCAGTGCACCCAGCGGGGTGAGGGGGATTGGCCGGCCTCTGGCATGTGGTCCTGTATCTTGACTGCTGGAATGGCTGGATTTGTGACGCGTTCCGGTACGATGTCTCCACAATTGCAGGGCGGGTCCATCCGTTGGTCCTCAACCCATCCGTGGATGGTTGAAAGGCCCGCATGTGTCGTCGCCCCTTCGCTACGGCCATTGCCTCTCTCTCTCTCTCTCTCTCTCTCTCTCTCTCTCTCTCTCTCTCTCTCTCTCTCTCT